TTTTACATCTGATACACCAAATAATGCAAGAGACAAATTGTGACTTCTCACTGGGGATGAAGCAGTGCCCCTCTAAATTTCAGTGCCTAAAACAAATCCCTGCTTTCTCTACCGTAGTCTATATGTCCTTCAGTAAATTAGTTAGCTTCTCTCTGCCTCATCTTCAAAAGAAGGGAGTTCCATCCAACTTTAAATAGATATCCTGTGTTGAGAAGTTGTGAAGTGTAAACTATAGTGGGATGAAGTTCATCAGTATTTTATGGTAGGAATACCCACTATATAATCTCCACCTGTTGGAAATTCTAAGGCCTGTCTCAGGTGGGTACTCGAGCTTTTCCCTGAACCCGCCTCTTCCTGTCCTCAGCCCTCTTAAATAATATTAATGAGAATGAAATTTATGTTGGGTTTCAAGATTTACAGGGGTTTTACCTTCATTGTCTCATTGACTTCGATGACTGGAGCAGAGAGTGTGGCTTATGACTTTGCATAGCTCTACCTCACTCATATTCAATTCATGAGCAAGTCAAGACTCTTGATGTCTTTGGTCCTCTTCCAGAACGAAGGATGAACAACAACCACTATGACCCTTACAACAACCCTGTCTACCACACTTGGGACATCTACTATGCTATGTATGCACTTACAACATTTATATTATAACATATTGTCCTCTCTTTTAGATTCCTTGAGGCAGATTTATCTTTGCATCCATAACACCTAACATTACCTAGTAGGCATTTAATTAGCATTTAATTGAACTGAGAAGGCTTGCGTTGAGAAAGTTTATGTTTCTGTAGAAGGAGACCAGTTGAATTAGAAAGTCTAGTAAGGGAATTCCAGAGCTGATTACCTTGCCTGGAATGGTTCCTGTGAGTCACATATAGCTACATTTCTTCATCTTCTGGTTGATAAGATAAGAAAATTCTGAAAGAACCTAGAATGGAGTTTTTCAATTTGAAGAATTTGGTCATCTGTTTCATCTATAGCTGAAATCTTTGTAGTATCCTGAAACCTGGGCTACAGAGCTCCCTGTGGATTGTGCTGGAACCTAATTTGCTTACACAAGGCTGCAAAAACAAACTCTCACCCCCTCTGTACCAGAAACCTGGAAGAAAACTGGACCAGCGATTAATTACTCTTTTTTGGTGGGTACAGGAGTGAGATAAGGAAAAGAAAGCTGTGTAACTGGCACAGTCTTATTTTTTCTCACTAGTTGGACTTGCCCCACCCCCCATCAGTTCCTCCATTCATACTGTCGTGGGGGTGGCTTTTTCCTGGGAGCAATTGAGGGTAATCTGGCTAGAGGACTGCGCTGTTGCCTCCTCTTGGGGAACAAGATTGGGATGAAGTGCAGGTACAGTAGATATGGAGGTATCAGAGGAGCAAAGAATTGGAGAAACGTACCTCGTTCACTTCCCGTGGATTCTGGAGTGAAGTTTGGCCATTCTCTCCACTCCATTCCTCCTTTGTAGAGGGTTTTCCCCCTCTACAATCAGATCTTTTATCTTTCACGTACACCCCCGCCCCTCCCCCACGATATGAAATTTGAAAATGACTAGGCTGATAGATTGGGGGTGGGGAGAATCTTCTTCCTTCGAACACTTCAGATCCTTTACTTGCTGTTCTGGCCATTAATACACACACCCCTTCTGGAAATTTTCTTTGGTCACTGTTCATTGACCTGTGCAGGTTACGCAAATTTGTCGTTTCTTTTGCTGTAATCCGCCTAGAGAGTGAGGATTGTATGTCTCCTCTGATACTCTTCCTTATCCGGGCTGTGAAGTTTGGGAGTGTATAATGTAGACCCTGCAGTTCTGTCGGCAAGAAAATAAAGATATTTAGTACGTCCCTTCACCCCAGTCTTCCAAGAGTACAGAGCTGACTGAAGGAATTGATCTCCCTTGGAATGCAGGGAGACGAGATTGTAGTGTGAACCTGATGGAACGGGAGGTACCAGCGTCTTTGTACGCGGTGGGCTGGGGGGTTTCAAATGTCATTCCCTCCCCCTTACCCTCCACACACACCGTGTGTGAGGAGTAGGGTGGCGTAGAGGAAAACCACTGAGATGCTGAAACCTCCAAGGTCCTAGAGAGGAGCAGGAAGTGTCCCTAGGGAGGGAACTGGAGGGCTCGCTCTGTCCTTTCCATCCACCGGGGCTCGGTGCACACGGCTCAGTGTAGTCGACTCTGAGCTGGGGACCCGGGGCTAGGAGGTGAGTCTGGGCAACCGCGAAATCTCCCAGACTGCAGAGGAACGAGAAAGAGACCAAGGTTTGGAGAGACTTCGTTGGGAAACTGATATCTCATCTTTGCTTTTCCTTCCACCTCCCTCCCGCCCTTTCTCCCTTCTGCCACTCCATCGCCTCCTCGACTTACTTTTTCTTTCCCCCATCTTCATTCTCTCTTCCATAAGTTTTCTCCCCTTCCTCTTCCTTCCCCTTTCTTAGATTTGCTCCTTGCTTCTAGTTGGTCCTCTCTCCGCCCCCGTCCTTTTCCTGCTTGTCTTCACCTTTTCTACATTTCTTCTGTTTTTTTCCTTCTGCCTTTCTTTTTTCTTTCCTTCTGACAAGCCTACTTTATTTTCTCCCTACTGAGCATCACCTACTGCTTCCCTTTTTTCTCCCTTGTTCTTCTTTTTCTATTCCTTATCCATCTTCTTTACCTCTTCCCTCTTCTTCCTCCTCCCCCTTTTCCTTTTCCCTTCTCTTTCTTTCACTAATTATCATCCTTTATTTTACTTTCTCCTCTTCCCTTCTTTCTTAATTCGATAGTTGCTTTTTCTGAACCTTCCTACCCCTTTCCCTGCCTCTTTTTGTGCCTCTATCCCCCTTGCTTTTTCCTTTCCTTTCCTTCTGATGGGGGATGTTGGATATTGGGCGGAGAGAGGAAAGGGGTAATCTCTCTGATTTGGAGGGAGCCTAGGCTCTCTCCACGGTTATGGGTGGGAAGAGGAACCAGGCCCATTCACTTTTTGAGTCTGGGTTCAAAAGGTAAGTTTTTCATTTAAGAGGGCCTTTGCAAAAATGAAATATAAGAAAGGATTATCTTTACATTGTGGTAAGCTGCTGCTCTTTATTTCTGCTGCAGTAGAAGAATTCAAATTAGACAAATTCAGACACTATTCTAGGAGCTGGGGATACAAAACCAGAATTTAAAAAAAAATTCACCTGCCTTCAGGTCAGGAAGGTGTGTACAAATGTTGTTCAATCATGTACTTCCTGACCCAATTGGGGGTTTTCTTGACAAAGATATCTGGAGTGGTTTGCAACTTCTTTCTCCAGTTCATTTTATAGATGAGGAAACTGAGAGAAACAGGGTTAACTGACTTGCCCAGGGTCACAGTCTGAGGCTAGGTTTGAACTTGTTTTCCTGACTCCAGGCCTGGTGTTCCATCCACTGCACCTAGCTGCCCTTATGTACACAAATAAACAGATACAAAATAATTTGGAGTTTGTGAAAGTAATACCTCCTGGGGAGATCAGGAAAGATCTTTTTTTTTGTAAGGGATGGTGCCAGTTTGACACTAAAGCATATGAGGAGTGTAATATAGAGGAGAATAAGAGTTTCTGACTATGAGGCCACTGGACCATAGATTTAAAGTTGGCAGGGACTTTAGAGCTCATTAAATCAAACCCTCTCTTCCCCATTTAACTGCTGAATACTGGGAGGACGAGGAAGGTTAAATTACTTGTCTAAGTCATATAGATCATAAGTGATAGCCAGGATTTAAACCTAGGTTCTTGGACTCCAAATTCAGTGTGCTTTCCATTCTGTCAATAACAATACTATAGCAAGTTGTTATTGGAAGTTGCAGAATGTATAACCTTGTTGATGGTATTGAGCTGTTGGTCAGGTGCCATTAAGGGAATCACTTGCTTAATAATCTCATCAAGGGCTGTCCTTTTTTACCTTCAGCTTCTGGGTGTAGATAAAAATAGTATTAAAAGATATTTAGGATTTTGCACACAAGAGCCATATGGCTTTGGTGGGCAGCCAGCAATATTAGGGCAGTCCTTAACCTTGTTTATGTCATTGGAAATCATGTGAAGCCTATAGAATCTTTCTCATTTACTCTATAAATGCGTAACATAAATAGGATTGCAAGGGAAACCAATTTTGTTGAAATACAGTTATCAAAATGTTTAAAACTCCATGGATTCCAGGTTAAGACCTTGTGCAGGTGGGGGAAGGGAATGAGGTAAAATGTTAATTCAAACAAATTTATGGTAAGATCAGTTTTAATTATAGATTATCCAAAATGCTATTTTGTTACTGTCAATACTTTATGATCAGTGAAGTACATTAAGTTGTCTGTTAAATCATCTTAATTTTTAAAAAAAAGTTTTTCCGTTTAGCTTTTTGATATGTGTACTCATTGAATCAATTTAATTATAATTTCCTTGATATTTGAAAACAGTTCCTGTTATTTTGTATCCCCTAGAGATCCTACCAAAATACATAGTAATATACTCTTATCTTTAGATAATACTTACAGTTACAAAGCACTTTCACATTATCTCATTTAGATCCTGGCAAAAACTCTGTGAATTAAATAGTGCATATATCATTACCTTAATCTTATGGATAAATGACTGATATTGAGAGAAGTGGAAGTGGCTTAGTCTGGAGGAGAACTAGGTTTGTAGGCAGAAGGTTTGGTTTAGAATTTATCTTCTGCTGCTTACTACTACCTGTGTTACCTTGGCCAAATTAATTAACTTTTCTAGGCCTCATTTTGTCATCTATAAAGCAAGGGACTTAGACTAAAATATTTCCAGTTTCCCAGATTTATAATATGTGAATATTATTTTTGCCTTAGGACTCCCAAACCCAGACCTCTTTCTTTACACACAAGCTCCTCAAGGGCTGGTGCAATCTTTGTATCCTCAGTTACTGGCACATAATAAATACTTGAATGCTTATTGGTTTGTTGATATTTATTTAGTGATTGATTATTATTTTAAGTGTTTTTGAGACTTTATACCTTTTTTTTCCTTCTAGCTCTATTTCTGTTTGTAAATTCATCGAGGTCAAAGTTCCAGTCTCCTACAACCTTGGGATAACACTACCTGATATAATACAGAATCAAGTATAATGGTAAATGCATTTTAGACTCTAAGAGGATTTTATTATTTGAAGTACACCAAAGATATCATTACAACATTATTCCACCTGCAACATAGTTCTGTGACATGGACTTCAGGGACAGTATTACATCAAGACTTGAATATATTTCTTCTGGATTCCTCTCCCACCTACTTCCTAGTGTGGTGCTCAGTAAACAGAACAACTTTCTTTTTAAATGTTGTTGACTGATAAATGCCTTCAGAGGTAGGTGAAACTGCCATCCTCTGTCTCACATCTGAGTATCAGCTATTTGTATTCATCCTTCACATTGTATCACATTCCCCATCACTCCTGTGAAGCAGTTTTACCATCCTCTTCCTCTGAAATAAACACAAAGGACCTAAACGTTGAAGCCAATAATTTTTGCCTGGAAGTAGGGTTTCTGACTGCCTCTGCTCATCCATCTTCAAAGTCTATCATGCCTACAGCCCTTTGCCCCAGAGTCTTAGCCCCAAAGGAGCGAGAGGAACCCATTAAAATGAGGAACCCCCGAGGGCAGGACCCTACCCCACAGGCAGAACCCCCTGGCCCTGAATCCTTCCGAAGGCTATTCCGTCGTTTCCGCTACCAGGAAGCTGCTGGTCCCCGAGAGGCTCTAAGACGGCTTCGGGAACTCTGCTGGGGTTGGCTAAGGCCAGAGCAACATTCCAAGGAGCAAATTCTAGAGCTCCTAGTGCTGGAGCAGTTCCTGACCATCCTGCCTGGAAAGATCCAGAATTGGGTGCGAGCCCAGGAGCCAGAAAGCAGTGAGCAGGCAGTGGTTGTGGTGGAGGATTTGGAGACAGAACCTGGGAGACCATGGCAGTGGGTGAGGACAGGTGCTTGGGGAAAAAGGACTCTGCAAGTAGTATAAGTCTGTAACGTACTCAGGAGAAGGAAAAAGTGTGAGGGGAGGAAGGGAGGGAAAGAGAACAATAGAGAACTGAAAGAATAGAAGACATGATTTTTTTTTAAAAGATGTTGGGCATAGGGTAAAGTTTCCACTTATCACAACAATGTTGACTGACTTTGTGTTAAATAGGGCTAGAGACTGGAGTGGGAAGGAAGGCATTGGGATTCTTGAAGACAGTCTTGCCATAGACTCAGAAATATAGGGCTTTCGGTGTCTGTGTGAAAGGAGAGGCATTAAAGGAGGAACAGTTCATTGCTTTGACTTCTTTCCTCTTTGACTATTCTAAGCAGTATCATGGGCACTTAATTATTCTGTAATTAAGATTCTGTGATCTTTATGATACTTGGGTTTAATGAAAGGAGAAAGAAGCAAAGGGAACAAGCAAATTTGGGTTAGTAACTGAAGGGGTCAGCTGTTCAGTGACCAAATAGGTAGTTAGTGGTGGAGCAAGCCACTAACTTCTCTTGAGCAATTTAAGAAGACTCCCTGGAGCAAATGAGATAATGACTGTAAAGTGCTAGCACAGTGCCTGACACCTAGTAAGTGCTATATAAATCTTAGCTATTAATCGTGATTATTACCTAGAGGAGATAAGATCATGTAAGTTGTTTGAACTATGGGAAGGAAGTGGGCCTCTGGATCAGGAGATATTTAGCCATGGACTTGATTGGTAGAACACTTAGAGACAGGAATAGAGTGAAAAAGGCTGGTGAATTTGTGTAGCCCTTTACAGAACTGCATTGTCCCTAGAGATTGTTCCTGAGATTTCCTCTCTGGGATTTTAGCTCCAGCTCTCTGAGGATCCTGTGGTGATTGATGATGGTGATGGTTCCCCTGTCCTAGTTCGGGGGCCAGAACAGGAAAGACTCTTATCAGACACAGCATCCCCTGTGGCAGCATCAGAGCCCTCAAACAGCTTGTCAAAGAGACGGGTCTGCCATCCTCCATCCCAAGAAGAAGGGCTAGGAAACCCAAACCCAAGATCAGCAGAGCAACTCAACAGGGGCATTGATGAAGGGCTTCCATTCACAAAAGAATCAGGTAAGGAGATGCGGTGGAAGGGGCACAGGACTTGGGGCAGGAAATCTAAGTTTAGCTTCCTATTCTGTTTCTAACTTTGAGCAAGTTATTTCATCTTTCTGGACCTCCATTACTCCCTTTTTAAAGTGAGGGGGCTGAGTGAAATGATAATGTGAGATCTTTTCTATTCTGTGATTCCCTGAATGGAGCTTGTTTGGGAATGTCAGGGTTTCTACTTACTACTAGCATCCTGCTTTCTATGTTCTTCCGAATACTATAAATCAGACCTATTTTCCTATTCCCTTATTATAATTTTAGAATAGATTTATCCATATTTCTGTCAATTTGGCTTTCATATTTCACTCTACTCTTTATAAATACGGAACATTTAATAACCTGGAAATATGTTCTGCTATATATGAGAAGGCCAGAGCAAAATACCAAGGGATTTAAAAGAATTCTTTTGAAAATAGAATCTTTCTGTAATTCAAATAATACCAATTTAATTTGCCCAACTTTCTCTTCCCCCCAGAAGGCAACTAGATATAGCATAAAAAAAAAAAACACTGCATTAGGAGCTAGAAGACCATCTCTCCCACTCTAGCAGTGTGACCTTGAAGTCACTTTGACTCATTGAACCTTTTTCCTTAGCTGTAAAATAGGTTTAATAATGCCTGCTCAAGCTTACCTTACAGCGTTGTTCTCTTGTTCAAATAAGATAATGAATGTAAAAAACACTTTGCCAATTGTATGGTGCTACATTGATATATTCAATACAGCACGCATAGATCAAGTAAAATTGATTGGGATACAAAAGAAATAGAAGATAAAAGAGGTTTACATTGCGGACGTTGCAGAGCTGGCCTGTCTGATTGGAATGTCTTACGGAACATTAGCCCTAAGATGTATTCTGGTAGCTTAGAAGTACCACAAGTGATGTACATATACTTATGTGCTTGAATGATATGTGGTCTCATTGATATAAGTACTTTATCCATGATGATGCATAAGAGGGCAGCCTATCTTTGTTGTCTCCTCTTGTGCTACAGTTGTTCAAGATTTCCCATAAATCTTCGGAAAGGGAGTCCATGCTAGGAATTTGGATCCTAGAATTGCTCATTGGCTCTGTTTAAGTTGTCCTTTGCTCTTGCCAAATGACTTGCCCACCTATCAGATGTCTCACTGTTGGCATCCTTTATGCTACTTCTGTGTAATACTTTAGTTGACACTTTGTTACAGCCTCTTCATTCTTACTCTGGTCTTCTCTGTTTCACTTTGGATGACCCTAGCTTTTTAATTCTTTAGAGCCTGGTATCCCATGATACTCCAGAAGAATATTATTGAAGCAGTGGGCCGTTGTTTCTGGTAGAAGCTTGTGGTCATTAAAAGCAATCCACAGTTTCTTCAAGGCAGTCCAACTCATTCTTCTGTTAGATGCTGGACCCAAGTGACCGTGCAGTTTCTATCTAAAAGACATACACAGATAGATTTTTTTTAGAGTTACCTAAGCACTTCTGTCTTGTTGTGTTTGCTACATTGATCATTTGTTGGTACTAAGAAGAGTCCCTGTCCTTTCATAGATTATCAGACAGATAATATCTCAATAAAGGGTGAAAGAGAGAAATGCAGTTATCCCATTCACATCATATGGGTGAGGGGCAGTGCCCTTGCGATCTCAAAAATCTGTGTAAAATTTTTTGGCCCTCCCTTCATATCAGAGAAGAAGTCTGAATTTTTTCTTTTATGGGGTGTTTACAGTATCTTATCGTAAAATTTGGGTTAAATATTTGGTCATGTGGTCTGTGTCGGCTGCTGGCCTTCTCGTGTCATCTGTGGATTCTGCAAACTCTCCAAAATTCCCATTTAATTTCTTATTCCAACTTGCAATATATTAAAAACAGCAGTGGGGAATGTAGAAGGGATAAGTGCGGTCCAATATATGTTACACTAACACAGCACTTAAGATGAGTTCAAATATTTGCAACGTGTGGAAGAAATATGTAGTTTGTGATACAGTTTTCTCCATGAGATCATCTGTGATACCTCCAGCTAGAAGTCGTCTCTCTTCCCTTAAATGTTTCATGCCTTTTTGTTTGACCTTTCCTATGTATACCCTTATCTCATTCTTACTTGTATTATGATTATATTTGTAAATTCTTATTTCCCAACTATATTGTACATTTCCTGAAGGGAAGAACTGTGTCTCATTTCAATTCTGGCTATGTTACTCTGTTACTCAAAACTAGAGAGGCTCCCTTTTACCTCTAGAAAAAAACATAAACTTCTCAACCTGGCATTTAATACCTTCTACAATATGAAAATAACTCACTTTTCCTTGCTTTTTTCATATTACTCCCCTTTATGAATTCTTTCAGGCAAATTAGCTTGCCAGGTGTTCCCCAAACCCAACATTTATTGCCTCTCTCCATTTGCATAAGCCTTTACTCATGTTTAGAACAATAATAATAATATTTATATAGCTATTCAAGTATGTTAACTCATTTTATCCTCAAAAAAATCCTGTGAAGTGAGTATGATTATTATACCATTTTAAAGATGAGGAAATGGAATCACAGAAGTTAAGTGACTTGCACAAGGTCACATAGCTAAGTAGTGTCTGAGGAAAGGTTTGAGTCAGGTCTTCCTGACTCTAGACTCTGCATTCTGTCCATTGCACAACTTTGCTGCCTTTTCTTTTGGGAATTCATTGCTTTCTTAAAGTCATCTTTCTGAATTCTTATCTTCCCTAAAGGCTCAGCTCTGGTGTCACCTCCTCTGTGAAATCTTCTTGGATCCTCCCAGTTATCTGCTAGTGCTTTTTTTACCCCCTTTTATTTTTACCCCCTTTGTTTTACCCACTTTGTTATACTCTTGTTTACCCACCTAATTGTGTAGTTGATGAACATCTCACCATTCCCCTCCCCACCCATCCCGAATGAGGTAAGGTCCTTGAGGGCAGCAATTTGTATAAGGTAGGCACTCAATAAACGTTTGTTGAATTTCATTGATAGTCATGCTGGTAGTGGCAGAGGTAGGAATAGAATTTTCAGGTATTCTGACTTCAAGTTTAGGGTTCATTTTCTGATCCCTCAAGCCTTTTTCTTTTATAAAGTCCTCTTTTAAATGCACAAGTCCAAGTGGGCAGAGGAGAGCCTGGTAATACTTGAAATCAATAATTAATTCCTTAATAATTATCATCTATTTAGTAAATAACCTCAAAGGCCATATAGTTCAACCCTCCCATTTTAGAGATGAGAAAATTGAGCCTCTGAGTTTAGTCTTATCCTAGGTCATACAGTTGGTAAACAACAGAAGTGGGATCTGAATTCGAATCCTTTGATGCCAGAGCCAAAGGGAGCCAGTGTTTTTCTTACTATACCTTATAGTACTTGTTTTAGCAGAAATTAATTACAGCTTAGAGCAGTATAGAAAAAAAATCACTTGTAACACAAGAATTCTTCCCTATCTTTTGGCTCCCACATCCAATTAGTTGCCAAATCCCTTCAATTATACTTCTGAAAGGGAGCATCTGTCCCTCTTTCTACTGCCCCTTCTACTGCCGTCACTCTAGTTCAGGCCCTCATCATTTATCAACTGTATATTGTAATAACCTAACTGTTTTCATTGCCACCACTCTTTCCTTCTACGTTCTTTCCTGTACACTGCTTTTAAAGTAACCTTAAATCTAATCACACCATTTCACCCTGCCTAAAAGTCACTGGCTTCCCTTTCCCTACCAACCACACAGTTCAAGCTACTTTGTCTGACCTAACATTTAAGGTACAACGTAGTCTTTCTTCAGCTTACTTCTCCAGCATTTTGTCACATTATTCCTCTTACTAAAGTTTACAGTTCAAACAGAGAACCACTGGCCTTTTAAAAGACTATTTGGATTTCTTCTCTGCTTCTCACTTGTGTGACTTGGGCAAGTCAGTTTTTCTCTATGGATGTTAAGTTTTCTTATCTGCAAAACAAATGATTTGTACTAGTTGACTTTTAAGGTCCTTTCCAGTTTTGATAGTCTTCGAGTCTATAACTACCTGCATTCTTCTGTTTTTTCTCTCCTACTTCCATTCATTTGTGCAGATTCCCTTTGTATCTGTTTCTTTTCAAATATTCTGTATATGTGGGGGGAGGTTGGAGGGACTGAATGAACTTAGAGCACTGCATGTGTCTAGACATTTTGAATGTGTTGGTTAATTATCTGAACTTTTTTCTCTTTTCTTCTTTGTTTAAGGGATGGCTCTCTGGGAGGAGGAGGGATATATTGGGAAAAGTAAGTGAAGTAAACAAAATCCTTTTCCTCCTCTAAGGCCCAGCTCGAATGCTACTTGTCCCATGAAGCCTTTCTCCTAACTAGAAAAGATCCTTCACATCCTTAGTTTCTCATGACTATTTGACCTGTCCTATATATTTAACACATTCTGACTTATAGTTACTATTGTTCACCACTCATCTGCCTTCTGGCCTATCAACTTCTTGAATGCAGGACTGCATAATTTTTCATCTTTGTAATCCTCAGTATCTGATACAGAATAATATGTATCACATGTGCTGCACATAATAAATGCAGCATGATTATTTATTGAATTGAAAAGGGGGAGAACAGTAACATAGTGCATTTCTATAGCACTTTGAACTTTAAAAGGAACTTCCCTCACAATCCTGTGAGGTAGATATTTTACGTATTACTCCTGTTTTATAGATGAGGAAACCATGGCTTTGAGAAAGTATTGGGAAAGTATTTGAGAAAGAAATTCACCTAGAGACTATAAAGCTACTAAATGTTTGAGGGGGGATTTGAATTCAGGTCTCCTAGCTTCTAGTCCAGCACTAATTTCCTTGTGCCAAGTTTCCTCACTGGTAAGATACCAAAAACAAATTCTGCATAATGAACGATTTTGCTAGGGTGAGCCCTGGTTGTCCCATTTAATCATATTGTACTTGTTAGCTCCTGGTTTAGATAATTACTTGAATATTCTTTTTTGAGATCCCTTCCAGCTATAGAATTCTGGAGTTGGTCCCCCGAAATTGTACTCCTTGTCTTTGATTGACTTATCTTCATTTTCTGACCTATGTCTACAACTAAAATGAACAGTGGGAAAGAGAGAAAAAAGATAATTTTAGCAGGAGAAGCAGGGGCACCTACTTATCTGGTGATAGGCCACATTTTGGAGTATGTTGTTCTGATTTGTTCTTTTTCTGGTTTCAGTACCCCCTGTTTCCCAAGTTCCTTTATTTCCTGAGGAAGGGAGCTCTGAAGACCAGGAAAAAGTGACCTCACTCCATCTGTCTCAGGTGAGTTATTATTGCTCTCTTCCTTAGGGAAATTCATCTTATTGGGAAGCAGGTCTGTGTTCTAGTCATGGCTTTGCTGCTAACTAGCTATGTGACCTTGAACAAGTAACTTCATTTCTTTGAGCCTCATCCTTAATTATAAAAAAAAAATAGTCAGTTGGATTTGTAAGAATCATTCTAGCTCTGTCACAAGAGCTGAAAGAATCCTTAAAATTATCAAATTTAACTGATAATCTGGACAAGAATTCTTTCTCTGTAATATCTGATAAGGGACCATCAGGCCTCTACTTGAAGATCTCCAGAGGTGGAGAAGTCATTGTTTCATGAGGCAGCACATTCCACTTTAGGGCAGCTCTCATTGTTATTAATTTTCCCCTCTCATTAAACTGAATTTTTCCTCTTTGTAATTTTTTATTACTCCTCATGCTTTTCTTTCAGGTAAAGCAGAACAAAATATGCTTTTATACATAATAAGCCTTACAAATCTTTCAGGTCCTATCTTGGCAAACCACCTTTGGATATGCTCCTGTTTGTATATGATCTTCTTAAAATATTGTAGTTTGAATTGAATGTACTATACCAAATGTAATCTGACAAGAACAGAGTTCTTGTAAAATTGTAAGTTATTCATTCTGGACATTTTGCATTTATTAACATAGCCTAGTCTTACACTGCTTTGTACCTAAAATCCCATCCTTCTTCACCTTACACTAAATTCATGACATAGGAATTCCTTACTAATGCCTCTCTACTCTAAGGGAAAGGTCTTAGCCTTGCCTTCTGTTTCTCTCTCCTTCCCCCTTTCCCCCTCCCCATTCTAGACAAATAAGAAAATCACAGTACCAAAATCCTGACACTTCCAACTATTTATTCTCAGCTTTTAGGCCATTTCTAGGAGACAGCCATGGTCCTGTGGAAAGAAGTAAAAGTTAATCTGTACTACTTAATAGCTGAGAGTTATCTAGGCTAAGAAGACAACCCTTATCTCCAAAAGAAGCCTACTTCATAGGAATATTTTGATATCAATTATGGTAGAATATAGATCATATATCAAGGCTTCTAGATGGCACAGTGGATAGAGTGCTGGGTGTGAAGTCAAGAAGACCTGAGTTCAAATCTAGCCTCAGATAGATACTTAGTAACTTAAAAGTATGACCTTGGGCAAGTCACTTAGCTTCAGTCTGGGGATAATAACAGCACCTACCTCACAGGGTTGTTGTGGGGTTCAAATGAGATAATATTTGTAAAGTGCTTAGAGTTTTATATAGCTCCTCCTTATGCCTGGCATAAGCGCTACTGAAATATACATAAATGCTTATTTACCTCTCTCTTCCCCCCCATCATGTGCAAGAAATGTGATAAGAAATAATTTTGACTATGTATGTGTATATCTATCTATCTATATATGTATGTATGTATATATATATATAGTTCTATAGATGCTAATACTCAATAAATAAATTCTATTGACTGAATTTTAGTCCAGCTTTGCTTTAGTTTCTGACCCCCACAGGGATTCCTGGTCCAGTCTATTATCCACAGCTTCATTCACTGCCTTCTCTCTGGTTTCTTCTGTTAAACATTCATTGAAGAATAACGAAAGCTAGAATTTTAGTGTCTTGTTGATCTGTGTTGCTCAAAGATTGACCCAATGTCAGAGGTAAAAGTATCCTCTTCACCTAGTACATGTATGACATTTGGGCACCTTTGCTTTTAGCTCTAACTCTCCTTGGGTCTGACGTCTGTCAACATCTTTGGACTTATGGGTCCTGAGTAGTTGTTTCATCTTGTTTCAGAACCATGTGACTCAGCTCAAGGATGTGATCCTGTGTTTCTCTGAGGAAGAGTGGTCTCTTCTGGACCCTGCTCAGACTGGCTTCTATGGAGAATTCATCATAGAGGAGGACTATGGAGTCTCTCTCCCCATGAGTAAGGGTTCAGCTCTCTCCTGGCCTGGGATTAATAATCGAAGGAGCTTTGGGAGTGAATAGCAACTTCTCTCTAGCTTCCCTTTTCCTCCCCGTGATACCTAGGTGATTTGTTCATGATTGGTTCTAAAAATAGTTGCTAACTACCTCAATACCTTCCCAAACTGCAGTCAGATTTAGGATCAGAGATGTAACTACCAATTTCTGCTCTTATGGTCAAAAAGAACATATCTGGTTTACTTTGTAACCAGTAGTTTTACCTTGTCCATTTCTCTGCAGTCATAGTCACCTTTCTCATTCCCTTTTTGACAGATACAACTAATGGGATTAAGAGAGAAATGTCCTAAACTCTTCCCTCTTCTCACTTACAAAGTAATATCCATCTGTACTATCCTAACCCCAGGAATGGTGTCTGCTTGTGCCCCTGTCGTGTTTTCCTTCTACCTTCCCTCTTTGTCCTCATCAGGGACCTAGGTAAATTATCCCATTCACCTCAACCTGGGTATAGCATTGTTTAGGCTGCTGCCTCTAAGTAGGTTGCTGGACAAATAGATATCCCCTCCCTTCTTCTCCTTAATAGACTATCCAGGTCCCCAGCCAGTCCCAGAGAGAATAAATGAATTGCCCAAGGTCATGCAACTACCAGATTCCCGGGTAGAAGAGGATGAGCCATGTGTCCCGGAATTCCAGGGCCCCCAGGATAAGGAGATCCCCAAAACTACTTGTACAGGTGAGGAATGAGGTAGTGACGAGAGTGCAGTGCTTTCTGATAAGGAGTGAGATCAACTCTGGAGCACTTTGATTAGGATATTCTCTCTCATTTCTACTCCATCCTTGCTCCAAAGGTTCTCTGATTTGGGACTATTAATTACCTGATTTGATGTTGGTAGAACTTGACACTTCAGGTTCCTTCCTTACCATCCTTGACTTTTACAAGGATTTATAATACAGGAAGAATATGGGGCTTCAGCTGTGTTGATTAGAATTCATACTTTTGACCAATCCAGGATTAGAAAATCAAGGGTTTTCTAGAAAAACTCCTTATTCTTTTTCCCCATGGCATTTTTGCATTATTTTTGGCCTACCATATCTGAGATTTTCTCCCTACACTTACTAGTAAAGATGAATGTGATAAGATTTATGAGATGATTGGCTAGGCTTAGGCCAATGCTCTGGCCATTGAATGGAATAAAGCATACTCGCCTTTGTGAGGGTTTAACCCTATCTAATTAGAGCAATGTTCCATGCCAATGGATGCTCAATATTGTTAGTTGACTACTACTATACACATTTACCTTTTTTAAATCTTGAATCTAAAATCTAATATCATTTGAGATATGACGGGCTTGTAGATCCTCCTTTTTTCCTTTACTCTTAGCATACTAACCTGGTTTTACTCAAGCAACAAAATTAATTATCTAGTATGTGCCAGGCATTTTGTGAGGTACTGGGGATAGAAATATAAAAGTGAAATAGTACTTGCCTAAAGTATCTTACTTACTTACTTACTAGAGGATTGCAACATATATTGGAAAATGATAACAAGGGAAGGTCCAGACAGTCATGGGATTTTAAGTAGAGCGATAGGGCAATAGATTGTTTTGCACTTACCAATCATAATGATACATATTGATTTGATTATTTTTCCCTCAGCAATAGGTAAAAACCAGAGTGGGTGGGGGAGTCTTTATGAATGTTTAGATGGGATACAGCATGGTCTGGGGGCCAGCTAAATTTAGAGAACTTAGGTAAGGATTGACCCAGTCACCCTCTAATACCAGCTGTTTGACCTGCTAAATAGCCATTTTAGTGTAAAAGAAAAATTTAGTTTTGTATCAAAAAAATTCAATGACTCCTTGGAGGAGGTCTCCCAAAACACTGATATAGATGAAGAATGGGATGGAGGCAGATTGGAAGATGGAATCCAAGGTCTTTCAGAGCTAGTCTGGGTTGGAACTCTCAGCTGTCATGATCCTGTCCTGATAAGAAATGTCTCTTCTAGTTTTCCACTATCTTTTCTGAATCATATTCAGTTAAACTCAAGTCAACAAACATTAAGTGATGGTAAGGGCACTGGATCTTGCAGTTTACAACATAGAAGTTTATGTCATTTACAAAGTCACTGACATTTTTATAACATTTTAGGCTTTGCACATAGTTGTACATTTATTAGCTCATTCAATCCTCATTAAAACCCAATGAAGTAAGCACCATACTTTACAAATGAAGAAATAGAACCTTCCAAAAGTGGAATTTGAACCAGATCTTCTTGACTCCAATTCCAACTCACTGTACTATACTGTCTCTCACCATACATAACTATAACATAAAATGAAATGTTTTTATGTTACATACTGGTTCTTTGACACTAGGGAAATCATTTAAGCTCTCATTGCCTTGGGTAATTCTCTAAAATCAGATGTTGGAGAATAATCGACAAATTGCATGAGACTAGGAATTTTCCTCACTGGAGAAATCACAGATTCAGACCAGGTGCACGAGAGAAGTACCTCAAAAGTTCTATATGAAGACTAGAGAAAGAAAGACATTTCTTATTGTGGGATCAAGGAAGGATTCATGAAAAGGTGATATTTAGATTGACTTCTTGAAGGAACACTAGGGTTTCAGCAAGCTGAAAGGGGACTGGTGTGCATTCTAAGTATAATGAAGAAAGACACAGAACTGGAAGAATATATGATGTATGGGGGATAGTAGATGGCTTAGTTTGGCTGGAGCACAAGAATATTTGGTAGAGAATATTGTTGAACAAGGCTCAAAAGTTAGAATGACACCAGGTTTCAAACTAAGGAGTTCAGACTTTATATAGTAACCAGTAGGGAACTAATAGAGGCCTGAGCAGAGAATTGACATGATCGTATCTATGCAGTTTATCAAGCAGTGGTAGAAAGGATGGATTAGTAATGGTAGGGAGTAGAGTCTGAAAGACTATTATAATAATCCAAATTATGGTAATAATACCAAATTATGGTAAGCTGTGTCTATAGAGATAGGAAAGAGGTGATGATTTCAAGAGATACAGAGAATAGCTATGACTTGGCAATTCATTACCTTTAGTGGAGGTGAGGGCCTCATGAAGAGTCAAAGCTAGGACCACAGTTTCCACTAAATAATAGTGGTGCCATTTATAGAAATCAAGGGAAAAAAGCAGGCTAATTTCCATTTTGGAAATGCTGAGTTTTCAGTATTGGGTGAGAAGTCCAGAAGAAAATATGGATCTGGAGGTCCGGAGAGAAGTTTGGATTAGAGATACAGGGTATCCCAAATGCCAGATGCTACAGGTTAAGAATAAGCTGAAAAGAATTTCCTGAATTTAGTACCTTTGAGAAAGATATTTCAGTTGACATGTTAAGGTAGATGATAAAAGGTTAAATTGAATGGTAAGATAGTAATGCTACAAGACAGAATACTTTTTTAAAAAGAGTACTTTGATGCCTTTTGTCTTTACATCACAATTATTTCACATACCTACAAACACAATTTTTCAAGAATTTCGACCATGAAATGAAATTGAGAGATGGATGTTGTAGCTCAAGTGGTACAAGAATCAATTAAAAGTTTTTTGTTTTTTTTAAATGAGTGGCAAGAAGGAAACTGAGTGACAGACTTCTGGACAAGGACTCATGAAGAGGGAGGGATTAAAAAACACAAGAGACAAGTGAGGATTAAAAAAAGACTGGGTAGATAAAATTAGATTTGCCAAGTATAGGACCTCTTGAGAAAAGAGAGGAGGAAGAGGAAGCAATGGATGAATGTGTTGAGAAGTTGTGGAATAGGGACAAGAGAATATGGAACACTGGGGTCTTCTCAATGAAGTAGAATATCAGGCAAGTGTTGGGGTGGGTCTGGGCCTTGAAGACAAGAGAAAATAGCCACCGTATGAAGTAAAATTAGGGGATTGATAAGAGTTGAAAAGAAAGATTCCAGAGCAGCATGTCAACAAAGCTTACATGACTTTTCCCACAGTGCTTATTCAGCAATGTGGCGATAAAAGTAAGAGTGAAGAAATTGAGTACTGGAGATCAGCAAGAGCTGAAAAGTGGAGGAAAAAGTATGTGGTAGTGAGACATCCTGGAGTGGTAGTTCCTGTCTCATTGGATTTGCCGACTGTGGCACAGCACGGTGTTTGGCATATGGCAAGTGCTTGATAAATGCTTGCTGGTGTGTGTTAGGGCAGGGAAAGGTAGGTAGTTGTGGTAGAATTTCAAAGTTCAGCATCTTATAAATGATTATATGTGGTGATAAAATTTAAGGTGTGCACTTATACAGTATAGTAGGTACAAAATATACACATGAATCTCTCCTTGGTATTGTACATGCTTGGTATTGAATTTTTAAACACTAAAACATGTAATATAAAGTGTGTGTGTGTGTGTGTGTGTGTGTGTGTGTGTGTGTAAATCAGTTTTCAATTTTCTATAGGTAGTTTTTCAGGCATGGATTTGCATTCCCTTTCTAGGCTCTCCCAGCCCCCCAGCCACCTCCCCAGCTAGGTGACCTTGGGTAACTTAAGCTCTACAGAATTTAGTTTCTTCGTCTTTGATTCTTAAGAATCCTTCTAGATCTGAAATTCTGTGACATATATTTTTTTTATTTTTTTTCTGTGATGTATATGGAAGGGAACTCAGAGATAATATAATTCTCAGTTAATGGAAATTCATTTTTATTCCAATTTTCCACTTAAAAATAGTACATGAACCTAGGAATGTGGGGATAGAAAAAGACAATGAATGAGAATATAATGATTTGTTTGAAATCCCATGAAGGAATTCTCTCCCCCATTAATAAAGGGAGAATCTCTCAGAGTCAAGATCACATACCCTGTAACATATGGAAGAACAAAGCATTTTAATATTAGCTTGAGCAAGACAAAGCATTAGGAAGAAAAATCAACTGGGAAAAGTATAATAAGCTCCATTATACTTACTATGTCATAGCAAGCTTTTATTTTATATAAATATTATATATTACATATTTGTCTAAGTGTAAGACTAGGGTATTGATTTGTGGTCCAATGTATTTAAATTGTTATGACAAAAAAAGTATGTGTAATGAAGATAATACTGCATGTATGATGTAGCCCCAATGCTAAGTAGAAATAAATTTTAGATTATCTATTTTTGAATTACTGCTCTATTCCATTGGTTGAGATAATTGAGAATTGACTCCATCACCCTTTTTCTGACCTTCTATAGAATATGAGCCCTTTAATAGTGAAGACTATTTAATTTATATTGCCTGGAACATAGTAGGTACTTAGTAAATGTTTGATTATTGATGATAATATTATATGTAGTAGGTAATTTGGTTTTGTTTTGCTTTGTTTTGTTTTCCACTTAGTCAGGGAAGGCTTCTTGGAGAAGGCACCACTTAAAAGAAGCAGGTTCTAAGAGGTACACAGTAAGAGAAGACTTGGAGAAATGAGTGCATGAGCAAATGAACTTAATGTTGAATAAACAAATGCCCAGTTGATTTCATTCATACTCCACCTAACTTTCCACTTCTTCATGGTATGTTAGTTAAATTACTAGGCTGGAGTTGAAGTTGTAGAAGAAATCTTAATGAAGTTTTTAAAATTGATTCCAGATTCTCCGCACCCTCTGCCCTGATATCTGTCTGCTAGTGTATGTTTAAAGAGGCATAGGTGTAGTGGTTGCATTTAAGGTGTCTTAAGAAAAGTAGAGTTACACTTAATGCATTCATTTTAAAAAT